TGAGTTCTCAGCAGCAACTCACAGCAGGGCTGAGCAGAGCACAGAGCTTGGTTCACAGCAGCTGCTGCACCTCTCTGGCTTATAACTGCAGCCCACACTGAGCCATCGTGGCCAGCACCCTTCCTGCTGCACCATCCCTGATGTGCAGATGGAGATCCTGGTCTGCAGGCATCTCTAGGTTGGTATCAGTCTGACCAATACATCATGATCCTTATGTGATTTGATTTGCTTTTGAAAGAATTACACTTCCTATGCACTTTTCTGTAAGAATCACATGCTCTTGCCGACTCAGCGTTAAGTCATTCCTCTAAACTGGAAGGAAAGGTTTTTCCTTAGTGGGGCTGTGAGCAACGTGATCCACAGAGAGGTGCTCCTGTCTGTAGCAGAGGAGTTGGAAATAGATGATCTTAAAGGTCCCTTCCAACCCAAACCATCCTAAGACCCTATGATTGATTCTATGACTGTATCACCAACCAACAGCCCGATGTGCAATGGAACAAGCTGAAGACACTTATGAGACACTAGTATGCTTTTCTGCTGGTAAAGACCAGTTTCTGTCTTTTTATCAGTGTTTCCAATGTAATGTTTCATGTTAACCAGAAGGGCAGAAGTGAGGATGTTGTTAAAAAACAGCGTATGCCATATAAGAGCAGTGTGATGGCACGCTATCTCAATACACAGAAAAATTTAAGTTTTCTTTATTACTTTAGCAAATAGAATTATTTTCTCATTTAGGAAGAGGATGCTTTCATTTGTTATACTTGTAAGAAGATGTAAGCAATAGCTCTGGCTAGAACCAGCTTAAATAGAGACACAAAAATCATAGTCTTCTATCAGGTAAATAGAAATAGATGTAACGCCTTCCGAATCTGAAGCCTACAAAATTACATAGAAGAGGCTGTAGTTGGGACACCAGCTCTTGCAGTGCAGATAATACCAGAGCTCCAAGAGATGTGAATACATCTCCAGAAAATGTACTTTATTTAAAAAAAAAAAAGCGCTATGAAAAGAGTTACACTTCCTTGACAGCTTCCCAGACAGTTACCCCAAAAGAGTAATGCTTTGTCTGAGCAAATCACAACCCCAAATGTGAAAGGCATTTGTTGTTCACCCTCTGGTGTCCACAGCTCCACATTCCCAGCTCAGCCTCCTGCTCCACGCAGCCCCTGGCAGAGGCACCTGCACCAGGGCAGCTCTTGACACACTGCCTTACAGGCTGCACCCATAACACAAGTGATGCAATCACAAAGCCTTGGAGCAAACATCTTTTGTAAAGCCTGCGGAATGATGTGATGCATGCTGTGCTCTCACTCTAGTGCATTACACATTAACAATAACCCAGAATGGCCTGGGTTGAAAAGGACCACAACGATCATCCAGTTCCAACCCCCTGCTGTGTGCAGGGTCACCAGCCACCAGACCAGGCTGCCCAGAGCCACATCTTGAATGCCTCCAGGGATGGGGCATCCACAACTTCCTTGGGCAACCTGTTCCAGTGCATCACCACCCTCTGTGTGAAAAAATTCCTCCTAATATTTAACCTGAACCTCCCCTGTCCCAGTTTAAAACCATTTCCCCTTGTCCTATCACTATCCACCCTCATGAACACCCATTTCCCCTCCTGTTCATATGCTCCCTTCAAGAAGTCACATCTGGATGACAGCACTGAGGACTGATGGGGCACTCACTGCTGCTTATTCTCCCCAGTGAAATTGGGATCATTAAATGGAACCAAAAAGGTTTCAGGATTGTCACAGGTCCCATAAGACATGAATGGCTGTAACCATAACTTCCTAATGAAACAGACTTCCAACAAAGTGATTGGTGCTATAGTGCCTGAATGATCCATAAGAACCTGCTACAGCAGGGTTGAACAGAAGGAGGGTCTTTTGAGCAGGTCAATATTAAAATGAATGGTAATAATAATAGTAAATGGTCCCCCTTTAGTCACAAGTGACACTGCAATACTGGTCTGCTCAGAGCAGTTAAAACTAGGAATAAATAACCCTTCAGAAGTGGTTAAGAGTAGGAAACAGCACACAATTAATTCTGCTGCATTGTGGTACCACTGAAAGATTAGAATGGAAAAAAACCTGTGTGACACTGTCTAAACAAATCTTGGAGCATTATTAATTTATAATACATGTGACTAATGCGCCCTGGCGAAATGAAATTCAACAACAAAAATGCTGAGGTGTGATTATGGCAGTTTGGAATTGCACGCACAATGCAGCCTGCCCATCAGCAGCCCACCCTGCAGCACCTTCAGACTGGAGCTTATTCCTGTGTTCCTTCTCACAGCAGGAAGTCCAGCCCTTAATCAGAACTTTTGTCCATGGCAAAAATCACGATGTTTTCAAAAACATTTCTTGCAATCAAGCAGGGCTAAAATCTTTAGAGATCCCTGTTGATCCCTCAGTGGGGAGAAGCAGTAACAACACCGGGCATCAGCTCATCCCTAATTTCAACCTCAGAAATCTGAGGCTGCAGATACACCCGGCTGATGCCAACTGAGAGGAAAAGCAGGGCATGGTTAGAGCACCGTATTTTGGGGTAACACAGTTCATCACCTTTCAGAACAGGACCTTTGGGTTTTCTGCTGTACAGCACACGGGGCTTGATCCAACCCTTATCTAACATGACGTTGCCTTGTGATATAAATAGCTTCTTATTTGCCTGCTTCAGAGCAACAATTTTAGTCAAAAGGTCAAATGGTTTTAAATGGAAAACAGAAAAATCTTCAGTAATTTGATATTGTCCATTTTTTCCTTTTTTCTTTCTTTCTTTTTTTTTTTTTTTAAAGACTGGAGACCCCAGGTGTCACTCATAGAGGAAGGAGGGGAACTCAGAACAAAAGACAAGGCATATTTGTCTAGGCTGCAGCAGCACAAAGCAGTAATATTTCAATGGTTTCCTGAGGCTCTGGAGGCACTCGCACACACTGAGCACCTCACTGATCTCGTCTGCTTGGAATCCTGCAAACTCTCTACACAATGCACAAACCTGTCTTCCTTGGCAGTGCAGAAATAAGTTACAGCTGCAGCCAAGTCCAGGACAGATGTACCTGAAGCACCTAATGACTGCATTCCTTCTTATTCTGCAAAGCTTATTGCATTGATGCTTTCAATTACTAAGTGTTAATAAACATGATTTTTACCCACTGCTAGCCATCACATGGATCCCTTTTAGCCAAACAGGAGAAACTGCTCAGTTTTAAGTCTTGAATGAGGTTTCACCATGGGGTCATCACTTCCACAGCCCAGAGAAGAACCATTTAAACCCTGTGTGTATTAAATAAGGTTGCTTTCAAGTGTTTTTCCTTCCACAAAAAAAGGAAGCAATGAGGTGTGAAGGCAGCTCCATTATAAGACCTGCATGCAGGACAGGCCGGCACGTTCATAGTCAAACCAGAGAAATACACACAGCTGCCTACAAATTATGACATGAAGGTGACCCAAGGCCTGATTTATTCCTACAGTTTATGGTTTGCTTTTATTGCTCACAGCACACTGGTAATCTATGCACGTGGCAATACTTCAGCACTAATGGAAATGAGTAAACAAGGTCATATTTGTGTCAAACAGCTGCTTTGCACATCCTATAGCCTGCACCTACAGCTCACTGGGTGCTGGGTAGAGCGTATCCTTCTTGCTGGAAACAAGGGCAACTGCTGAATATCACCCAAATTAGAAAGACAAAACAGTTACAGCACATTTTCCCTTGGGCCATATCTTCTGCAGACCACAAAAAAACTTTAAGACGCTGTCTTTCCTGGGAAATGCCACACATCGAAAAATTATTGTTTACCATGAAATTAAGTTACAGAATGTGAAGTTAATGAGACATACCGGGCACCTCGCTAGACCGGAATCGCGCGCTCGGCCCCTGCCACACACAGGCTGACAAGGCAGCTTGCAGGTTATTTTTGCAAAGCATGTCCACGCAGTCAGTTTGAGCCTTCAGGCTATGTGTGACGTAGTGCAAAGGACTACAGAGAAAGAGTGCAGCAGGTCCCCTCTGCCAGCTGCTCTTCCCAGTCTAATAACAAAACCAGAGATGCAGCAGCAAGAACTACAGAACATACATGACAACAACAGCCTGCCCACCTGTACAACCAGAACGAAGGGCTCCTGCTGCTGCTCAAGGCACAAAGTGAAGCATCTCCTCTGCTGCCTTGCGTCGTGACGAGCAGAGGAGTTTGCTTCCTGCACAGCTTTGTGAAGGTGGAGTGAAGCTCACCAAGGGCTGAGTGCAGCGTGACAACCTGAATCACAGGAGGCAGCAGCACGGCTGTGAGGGTGTGCAATGCACACAGAGCAAGGAGGGCTTGCACTGAAGCATTGCTGAAAGGAAACGCGGTGTGGGGAGTGGTGCTCAGCAGAGCACGTTTCTTCTGGCATTTTAGCTCACATCAGAATGCTTCCCTCATAAAGCTTATAAATAATGCAACACAGAACTTTCTTCTGACTTCTGAAAACTTCCTGAAAATCTATGGTACGAGTGATCAGAATGAAACTGCAGATTTGTAAGAAAAAAGATTAGCTTGATGTTCACATCGTAACCCAAAATCTACCACTGAAGCTTGAGAAAAGCAAGGAAATTCAATGGCTGTAACACTGTGGCTGCATTTGTTTGTTTGTTTGTCAAACACTCTGCATTCAGGATTTACGTTTTCCAACTACCATCCTGAATCCTATTTTTCTATTTTATTTTAAATGAAGAGGAATGAAGGCATCAAAGTTTCTACCTTAACGTCTTCAGGCTTTTCTTTTTCCTGTTTGCTCTTCAGCAAGAAAAGTAAACAGATAATGGCTGATTACGATAACTGAGAAATACCTATAGAAAATGAATTTTTCAAAATGACCCACCCAAATGCACTGGCAATTACAAACTGCTCAGGTTTCCCATTAGTCTGTCAAAACAAGAAGTAACATTACAGAAGCTCTCACTAAAATTCTTAAAGATTGTCACATTGATTGAATTTCGTAGTATAGACTTACAAACTCGTAGTCTCCATCCTGTGGTACTTTCCAATCAGATGAGTTTTTTGTCTGGCCAGATACATTCTTCCCAAAGCTATTGACTTGATTCTCCTTTGCTTTCTGCTCAAAATATTCCAGGAATGATGGTCTGGCTGGCTGCATTGTTTCATCCCTCCCTGGAAATAGCAAAAAAAAGCACAGTAGTTTTAAAAATATACTTTCAGTTATGCTGCCTTGTATGGCACCCAAAAGCGAGTTCATTTTTTTAGCACACGCTAAATCACACAGTACTGCTGAAGTACTATTTTTCAGCAGCTGTTCAGATAGAAAGCTATTCTGAACCATGCAGAAATGCAGAAGGGAAGCTCAAGGTCCACCACACACGTGATGACAGCACTGGAACCTTGGGCCCTACAGCTGCAATCTGTCCTTCAAACCATGCCACCAGGTAACCAAGCTCTGCACACTGAATGCTGCAAGGAAGCTGCCACCTGCTGCTGCAGTTCTACATCCCAGCCAGGCTGCAGGCTGCAAATACTCACATGCCAAAACTGAACAGCATTATTTTCCAAGAACCAACCCACATTTATATTTATGAATGGAGCAGTACAAAAGCAAGCCTTGCCACATCTGCCTCACAAACAGGTCCCAGTTTGTCTTGGGTAGGAGAAGTTAAGTTCTAGATTTCTTGGGTAGAAAGTATTCGTCAATTTGATAAGTAGCTTTCTTTTTAGAAACAGTCAGTAAGCTATCAAGTTAACTGCCCTGCTTCCTTGGTTTTGCTTTTATTTTTTTAAAGTTAATTCCCCTGAACTTACTGGATTATTTGAACAAGCCATGTATATAAATTAACTGCCCAAGTTCAGACCACGTTCAAGAAACTTGGGTCAGTAACAAATAGGTAAGGAAACAAAGGGAAACAGAACAGTCTCAGTAAATGCCTGAATACACTTTGATTTGGAAAAGCAGCCTCCCAAGCACCGTAACAGGGAAACGCATTCACCCATAGGGCAGCACAGCAGACAGCCATGGGCACAACGTCCCAGCACAATGAGGTTCACTTTGCTCTAGCCTTTTTAAATCATCCTTTAGAACAAGCAGAAGCAACAAAAGGAAGAAGACTGCTGACCATTAAGAGCAATGAACCTGCACAACTGTAGTGCCACTGGGTAACCAGGGATGTCATACAGTTGGTCAGATCATGGATACGAGCACTTCTCCCACTTCCTCCAGCCTTCATGCAATCTGAACCCCTATTCCTATCACCTCAGTACACCATTACATCAAATGAGCCTAGCAAGCCATCAAGCAACATGCCTCCAGCACCAAACATGCAGTTAAAACTACCCAGAACTTAATGCCATTATGCTCCTCTTCACAATAAAACGCCTCATAAAAACCCGTGAGCGTGTGAGGTGTGACAATACCAAGTGTTTTTGTTGCAGTAAAATGTTGTTCTTAGACAGGGGAGTAGGTCCACCTATTTAAAACTTATTTTTAGCCAATGCAGAAACCGTAACTTTCAGAAAGCAGGTCTGGGGGTCTGAGGACCAGAGTTAACAGAAGCAGGCAGCAGAACTGCCGAGCACGTGCACAACTCCAGACTGTGAGAACAGGTTCACTGCCAGATGCCATTCAGTTGAAGTAAACCCCATCTGCCTGGCAGGCATCCAACCAACTCCTCAGAGTCCCAGAAGCACACAGAGAAAACAGAGCCGTCCTTGGAACGGCTCGCTGGGTCTGCACAGTGCACACCAGGGTGTGCAGACAGGACTATCACAAAAGAGGTGCCAGGCTGCAAGCGACTCAGCACTGCCTTCCTCTCAAAAAAAAATATTACCTCCTCCGGAAATCCATTAAGATTTAATCACAGAATATCACTCCTGAGCATAAAATTGCCATTCAGTGATCCAGAACTCCCCTGGCAAGATGTCTGAGCCTCAGACAAGCGTACCAATTCCTTGTTCAGCCACTGAATACTTCGCAAGTTATTTGTCTGCAGACATGCTAAAGGGAACACATCTCACCTATCCCTAGCATTAATTCCCCTTTAAAAACAAAAACAGAAAACCCACACCCAACAAAAAACAACTCGTGCAGGACTAGATCAAGAAAGACGTCTTCAGACAGAGACTGCGTGAAGGTCAGTCACGAAATGTCTGCGAAGGAGAGAACAGATTTGCTATTGGGAATAATTACTGAAATACAATAGCAATCCAATTACAGCTAAGTGATAAAACATTTATTTAGAGCTAAGTAAATACACCACTTGCATCCCAGCAGCCCAGCCGGCATAAGGCAGGGGTTAGTCAATGCTATAGCCAATCGTGGCAGTGTTTAGCACTGACAAAGCTTATCAAAATAAATGAATTCCTTATGACCCAGCCTAATCCATACACAGCTTACCAAGGGCCAGCTTAGGTCTCAAATTTAATTTGGGTTTCCCAGATGAAAAAGCCATCTACATTAAGCTTGCACTGCACACTTACAAAACAACTGTTAGCACAGAAGAATCTGAAAGCAAATGCCCCACACAAGTGACTTTGGATTAGACAGTTTCTTTATGACTGCTGTTCCATACCAGAGAATAACTGTGTGACTTAATCACTCTCAGCTCCCCACGTTCATGTTTTACCCATAGCTGCAATATTTGTGACGGGACGGGACAAGAGGTGATGGCCTCCAGTGGCACCAGGGGAGGTTCAGCTTGGATATCAGGAAAGGTTTCTTCTCAGAAAGAGAGGTGATGGGTCAGGCTGCCCACGGAGTGGAGCGTCAGCATCCCCGGAGGTGCTCCACAGCCATGGAGATGTGGCACGGGTTGGGGTTGCACTTGGTGATCTTAGAGGTCTTTTCCATCCCTAATGATTCCATGAATTATTGCAAGGCGCATCTGAAAATAAGTTTTATTTACTAAAACTTCTGCTTTCACACTGATACGAAACAGGCAAAGAAGGAAGAAAACAAAGCAGCAGTGGCAGCTTATAATCCTGAGAGGACCACAGGTTTTTGGCCTCATCAGTGCAAGCAACCAAGGGGACACAGCAGAAGGGTGCAGCAACAACGGGCTGGAAGTTGGGATGGAGGGAACAGCTGTGAGTTTGCTCAGCCCAGACCAGGCAGGAGAAGCCCAGTGAGGCCTCCTAAAACCCTGCAGGAGCCGGAGAGGCCTTCCTGTCATCTAAGCAGAGCCATCTTTTCAAAGATGAGCCAGGCAGCCGAAGACAAAACTCCACTGCCGCTACTTGCAGGATCAGCTGCTGCCAAGATGTCATTGCACTAAGCACGTCTGTGCCAAAAAGCATTTCAGTTTCCATGTTTGTAAGGTTAGACTAAAATACAAATAATTGACAGAAAGTGAGATCACAGCTGTGGCAGAAAAGCACCTTTTATTAGAAGGTCATCCTGCAGTGACAAGAAAGGCTTCTCTGGGCATTTATTTCAAATGCTGAGGAGTAGCGTATAAGGTTGTGCTGTGAGAGCTCTCTGGAGCCATTAGCAGCCTGCCATCAAGATGTGCAGTCATCTTTTAGGAGCTGTATTAATTACACAAATGGAACACCACAGCTCTGCTGGAAACAGTCCAGCCGACTGCAGAACTGCAGGTTTGGGCTGGGCACACGGAGCGCCCGGCACTCGTACAGCCACGCTGAGATCAGCCCTACAGTAAAGGACAGAAGCCTTACACATACCATAAAGCCTTCCTTGCACCAGTGTTACCTGGTATCAACTCGTATTTAGATAATACCAGAAAAACATCAGCCCAGATAAGCCAAAAGATGACAAAGGAGGCATTGGTGCTTCCATACGGTGCTGCAGGGAATGTGAAATGATAAAGAAGAAATAGCACAGCCAATTAAACCAGCACAAGATCTAGCGTGTCCTCCGAGAGCAAGGAGTGCCAGTGCAACCAGCTCGTTTGGTATCATCCAGCCCCAGAAATGAAAGTACCCATTTTGTTGATTTTGCCAAATTAGCTCTCACAATTGAAAAATATCAGAAACTCATGAGCTTCAAAGGAAACCTTCAAAAGGAAAGTAGATTTATAGTCCTTCTATCTGACTGAAGGAGCTTGCTGTGAATGAAACTTGCAATGAAACTATAATTTCTGCTTTTCTGTGAGATTTCTTCTCTACTCAATTTGACAGCAGAAGAATCCTCGTTTTGTTACTCTTCACAGAGATACCTATCACCAGCTGGAGTAAATTCTAGAATCAAACAGCCTACCACAAGACAGAACCATAACCTCAGGAACATATTCACTCTTTACTCTTAGTTAGCACTTAGGTTAATATACATTAATTAAAATACCTATTCTTGAAGCCACAGTGAGAGATTTATCCCTTCTCTCACAGAAATGGAAGCAGCCCAGTGACTGGGAGCAGCCAGGAGATCCCACCACAAATATGGTTTGAACTACTGTTGGATCAAGCTAGATTTTAAGAACAGCACTCCTAACAGCTTCATAAGGGGAACATTCATCTATAAGGAAGGTAATTTAAATCAACAACCATGAAGTGATGAATTACTACATTAGCAATATCAAACTAAAATCAGATACTTGGTACATGAACACGTACTTGTCAAGATTCCAGGAAGCTGCAATCTTTAGACAACTGAAACAAGACAACTGTTGTCAGCTTTGGAAGATACCTGTGTTTTAACAGGATGTCAGCAGCAATGAGATCAAACGTTTTAAACCAACTCTCTGGCACTAAGGAAAGTACAACCAACTCCTTGAAAAAAGCTCAGGAAGATGCTTTTACAACAAAACAATCTGTAATTCTTCAACTGCAAAGAACGAATTACATTCTTTCACATAACAAATTATACTCTTGAATTTGAGAGTACATGGGTTTCTTCTTTCTTTACATGATGTTAGCAAGCTCCCACAGGCTGACAAGTCATCTTGGAGTTGGACTCAATGACCCTTACGGGTTCTTTCCAACTGAGGATATTCTATGATTCTATGAGTCCTGTGGGCACGAGCTCAGAACCGAGCTCTGCACAGCCACAGAGAGCACCGCTCTTGTTAACTCTAAAGAAAGCAAAACTACAGCTGTCTTTTGTCATACTTAAGGCCACAGAGTCCCCTGGGAGAAACTGCTGTCATGTACACAACTACACAGACCCTTTCACTGAGGGATCGAGATGTACTGTAAGGCAATTGCTTTGG